GTTTTCGATCGAGTGCCACTCTCGAAATGGGGGAGGGGAGAGGACCAGTTAACGACCCCCCTTATAGTGGTAATGATCCGCTGCGCGGCATTGTCGAAGACAATACGGCAAATCGAGGGTAAACCCAGGGCGATTTTGTCGCGATTTCTCATTCATTCGCCCACTTGTTTACTTCCTCTTTTGTTCTTTTTGTCTGCCGTAATTTTTTTATGCGTTATTCATTTTTATTTTAATGGCGATTTACGCTCGAAGCCAACTAATCAAATCTACAAATCTGCTGGATTCTTCCTGCTTCGGTTATTTGTAAAGTTTAATTTATAAATAACCGACGCAGAGCTTGTGAAAGTTTCTTTGGAAAATTGTCAACATTTTTGTGAAGGAAAATTTCCTTCTAGCCAAAAAATTGGTCAGTACATAAAAAAGGTAACGTAATAAATTCCCTTCCGATAACCAGTTCGATTTTCGAAGTGGGAGATCCTCCATAAAAGCAGTTACTTTATTCTTGGAAGGTTCTATATTCTATAAAGTCCGGCGATTGTCCTGTTTGGGTCTTCTGTGACAGCAGGGCATTCGATTGTGTAGAATCTACATAAGAGAAAAATATGGTAACGATGTAAAAACAATACCAATATCAAGAGACACCGTTTCTCGGCGAATTTCAGCCATATCACGTAATATAGAATCAGTTCTGTTAAATCGAATACAAAACTCTCCTGTGTTTGCTCTAGAACTTGACGAAACTACAGACATTACTAAAATGTCTCAGATTTTTTATGTTGTAAAAGGTTAGAAGGAAGAATAACTGGAGAGAAAATATTTGAAGTTATTAACAGATATTTTGAGGAAAATGATCTTCCTGGGCCCACTGCGTCGCCGTTTGTACAGATGGTGCTTCAGCGTTTACAGGTAGTAAGAAACGACTTAAAGGGTTAATAATAAAAATTGCTCCTCATATAGTATTCAATCATTGCATGATGCATAGACAAGCTCCAGTTGCAAAAGACATCGATGAAGAATTGTACAAAGTATTACAGGATGTTATTGTAATCAATTACATTAAAGGCAACAGCCTAAACAGTTATCTCTTTTCAATACTCTGCATGAGATGGGTTCTGAGTATGAGACGTTATTACTACATACTGAAGTCAGATGGCTATCTCGGGGCAAAATATTGCCACGTATTTTTGATTTGAGCAACGAAGTTTACAATGTTTCGGTAGAAATTAATCATATATTGGCACATTCATTCATTAATGAAGATTGACTCGCAAAACTCAGTTACGTGGTTGACGTTTTCGAAAAACTTAACTATTTGAATTTGAATTTTGCAGGGTGAGAGTACAAACATTTTAACACTGAGCAGTAAAATCGAAGCTTTTAAGAATAAGCTGATGCTTTGGCAAGAAGAATTAAACAAAAACAACACAGACATGTTTCCGTGCTTTTTAGAATTCGCTAATGAAAATAACATTTTCGTTTGATATTAATTCCAATATCCCTTTGAATGAAAAGGAACAGTTAATTGATATTTCAAGTGACGAAACTCTGCGTATTCAATTTAGATCTCTGACTTGCCAAAAATTTTGGTTATCAGCTGAAAAAAGGGGCAATCAATATTTTGATTCATTTCGCATCGACCTACTCATGTAAATCCGGCATTTCAAAATATCGATCTCGATTGGATCTAGAGGATGACTTACGGACTTATTTGCAAGCACGAACTTCACGTTGAATTCTTATGAGTAAATGTTTAAATGTGTTTTTTTTATTAAATAAATGTTTGTACTCATTTTTTTGTCACTAAATTATGTGTTGTGTAAAAACACTAAAATAATGTTATGGAAAATCTCTTGCAATGGTATAAGCGGTCCTCCATTGAAATTTGCGCAGCCTGTATTTTATGGGAGATATTATGTTAGCCTATCGTGTATAAAACTGACGTTAACATTTAATACAACAAATTAGTGAATTTGGGAATTAACCGGCTAAAATCCGAATTAACCAATACAGCTGGTTAATACATAAAATAGATATATTTTAAGAATTTTTGTAAATTATCCTGTTAGAAGGCGAATTATACAATTTGGTCGGTAATATCCAATCTTCTTATAGTGCCGTGACCGTTTAACGATCGTTTGGTATCAGGCTGGCTATCATGTTGACAATCATTGTTTTATTAACAGCTGCACGAAACTGTTCGATCGAGGATTTTCCATACTCTTGTCTTAGATTTTTCGACCATGATGTTCTTCTCCTTCCAGGGCCGCTCTTGCTATTCACTTTTCCCTCCATTATGAGGTGCAGTATGGCATACTTCTCAGGGTGACGCATAATATGTCCAAAGTATTCTAGCTTACGCTGCTTGATGGTTAAAATTATCTCCGGATGTTTGTTCATTCGCTCTAGTACTACTGCGTTATTCGCTCTATCCACCCAGCTGATCTTGAGTAGACGACGGTACATCCACATTTCGAGCGCCTCTAGACGCTTGATGGTCGCGTCAGTGAGTGTCCATGACTCCATCCCATATAGGAGAACCGGAAGCACGTAACATTTAACCATTTTCATTCGCAGTTTCAATGTTAGATTATGGTTACAGAGAATTTTTTTCATTTTTACGAATGCTGCTCTTGCTTTTTCTATTCTAATTTTAATTTCATTAGATGGGTCTCATTTATCGTTGATGTTACTGCCCAAGTACGTCAACCTCCCAACTCGTTCCAGAGGTGCACCTTCCACATATATGCCATCATCCTGATGTGAGACATGTTTACTAATGATCATATATTTAGTTTTATTAACATTTAGTTTAAGTCCGTACTGAGCACACGAGTTAGTAATTTGATTCATCAATAATTTCAGATCCTCGTTGGTATTTTCAATGATTAAAGTGTCATCGGCGTATCTGATGTTATTAACAGTTTTACGTCAAAAATTTCTTCAGAATACAGGTTGAACAACAAACACTCTTGATCTTCATATTATCGCTGAGATGCGGTCCAATTCTTACTACTGCTTTTTGATTCCAATACAAATTCTGAAGAATTCGGACATCTCTGGTATCTAGCCCAGCCCTTTTAAGAAGTTGAAGCAGTTTATCGTGTTGTACTTTGTCAAAAGCCTTTTCAAAATCAATACTACATAGATATACATCATAATTCACGTCTCGGCATCTCTGAATCAGCACTTGCACACCAAACAGGGCTTCTCTCGTTCTCAAACCTTTACGAAAGCCCATCTGGGTTTCACCAATTCTTTCTTCTAATTATCTATATATTCTACCAGGTATTATGCGCAAGAATAGTTTTAAAACATGGCTCATCAGGCTGATACTCCGATGGTCATTACATTTTGTTGCTCTGTTCTTTTTTGGAAGCATAACGAAGGCTGATTTCAACCAATCCTCGGGCATTATTCCAGCGTTATATACAACGTTGAAGAGTTCTGTCACTGCTTCTATTCCTTTATCTTCCATCCAATATCACTTTATAATAATTTACGAATATATTAAGCAAGCAACTTCTCATTCATCATAGACGTGCATACTCTAAATATACAAAAATCTAAATAAAACCACCAAATAATACTCAAACCTTTATTTACAAACAGCATATGTACCAACAAATTCCATTTTTTCTAAACAAAGTAACAAAACTACAAATGACGTAAAAAACTAACTAGGTATACTTGCCCATTTATGGATCAAAAGATGCAGAAGACAAATAATTATTATTCCGACTTTTATTATGTATTACTTACATTTCAGCAAGACAGACTTGAATGGCACTTAGAATTACATAATAGATCGTTTGCCTTACATTTACATTTTTTTGTAAAACATTAAGTTTTGCAGTGACTTTTTGGTATCCCTATCCCCCCCGAAAGTGACTGCTTTTTGGCAATTTCTCTTAATAACTTTTTTTTACTTGACACGCATTTTAAAGGAATTAACGTTCTTTCGCATACAGTAAATTGATTTCTAGATTATTTTTCACAAATAGTGCCATTGCCAATAACCATTGTCATTATCAGCGTGCACAACTGTCATTAATGCATTGTTAAAGTCACACCGATCTCTATCTAAATCTGGAATAGGCACTCTGACAGACAGCAAGATGGGAATTTTTCTTTTGATATACGCTTTATTTTTTCTTATTGTTTTTATAAACATTTTTTGCTTCTTGTCTATTTTTCAAAATACTGAACTGCTTTATACAAATATCACAATTCTTACTATCTAAAATCTGACACATGATTTAAAAACTCGCTTGTAGTATTCCATCTTCTCTTACTTCATTGCTGCTCATTACTCCATTAAAACATTAAGTTGGCTTAAAATCTACTTTTTCATAATATTTAAGATATGTTTTGTTAATGCACAAAATATAAAAGTTTTAATCTAATAGATCCATTTGTGGAAAGTTACTTTTAAAAATTAGTAGCAATTTTTTAACGAACATGTTAGCTATTAGACTGTTAAAAAAATCACCGTCTTATTTTTTTATATATTTTTATTGGTTTATTCACGAAAATTAGTAAAATGACACAGGAAAAATATTTTTTAATCTTACCAAAACAAAAAAAAATAGGAAGATTAACAATAAATGTATTTTATATTATAGAAAACTTGAATTCCTCAATTCCTAAATTCCTCAGTTTATTTGTTTGTTTGTTTATATAGAATTTAGTATTTTTTTCTGCTTGTTGAATCGAACTTGCTGACCTTTGGCCAATTATCCTGTGGGCTACTTCTGATTTTAATTGAAACTGGAGAAGCCAACAGGGTGTTTGGCTAAACATCAGCAAGTTTCTTTCAACAACAACCTACCCAAGAAGAATCCAGAAGTTTTATAAATTGTATTACAGTAGCCTGTAGAAGTTTCGTTGAAAAATTAATGTTTTCTTTTATTTTGTCTTGTAGATAATCGGCTTGTCCTATTAGACTATAAAGAGTTGAGTTATTATCATTTAAAAGCGAACTTGGGGAAATAAGTAACAGCTTCAGTTGAAAATATTTATTCGTTTAAAAGGCACCCTGTAGGGCGACAATGAGTTCAAGCAGCTGCCCGAAGCACTGCTTGCACTCGGAGAGTAAGATGTCGCTTTCCCCCTTCTCTACTTCGGCTTCGACTTTTCCATCCTCTTTTTCGACATCGACTTCCGCCGCGGGATCTTTTGAATCGTTCGCGGGACCATCTGAATCTTGTTCTGCTTCCTCACCGTCGTCTTTTCCTGCTTCTACTTTGTCTTCGTCATTTTCCTCTTCGGCGTCTTCATTTTTTTCTGGCACTTCTTCCGTCCCAGTTTCTTGTTCATTATCTTCTTCCTGTTCGCCTTCCTTCGCTTCTTCTTCTTCTACGACCTCGCCATCGTTCTCTTTTGGTTTTTCGTCGTCTTCTTTCTGTTGCTTCTCATCTTCGTCTTTATCACCTTTCTCTTCGTTCTCATTTACGGCCTCGCTCTCTTTCTCTTTTTGTTCCTCGCTTTCTTGTTTCTGTGCCTTCTCATCTTCCTGGTCATAATCATCGTCATCGTTTTCTTCATGGGTGCGGTCTTCCTTCTCTTCTTTATCTTCTACTGCCTCGATCTCATCCTCTTTTTTTTCCTCGCTTTCTTGTTTCTGTGCCTTCTCATCTTCGTCATCATAATCTTTTTCTTCATGGGTGCGGTCTTCCTTCTCTTCTTTATCTTCTACTGCCTCGCTCTCGTCCTCTTTTCGTTCCTCGCTTTCGTCTTTCTGTTGCTTCTCATCTTCGTCGTCGCTGTTATCCTTTCCTCGGCTTTCATCGCTGTCGCTGTCGTCGCTGTCGTTTCTCTCTTTTTTCTCGTCGCTTTCGCCGCTACCGCTGTCTTCGTCGCTCCCTTGGGCGGCAGGTTTTTCGACCTCCTTCTCCTTCGGCAGGTCAAGCTTTTCGTCTTCGTTTTGCTCTTGCACCGACGGCGGCAGGACCTCGACCTCTTCTTCGGGGTCCAAATTGGTCGTTATAACCGGCGGGAGCACTTGGACATCGTCCTCTGGATTCAAATTGGTCCAGAGTATCGGTGAAAGCGGAGCACCATCTTGCTGCACCCTCTTCAGGTTAGTGACCGGAACGGAGTGAGCTTCGAGTTCCGCAAAGTGACTCGACAGGAGCACCACGGCAACGGCGACCAAATGTTTGAACATTTCGACGGGTATCGATAATTTTAAAAGTCGCCGCGATCGTCGATCGCTTATATAAAGTCGATCCATCCTTTATCTCGGATCGTAAAGTCGCACGCGGCATCGAACGTTGCGGGCCTGCTGCCTTTCATCTGAATTTTTTATGTTTGGTCTAATACCTTTATTGCTTTTGGAAAATATTTTTTCGAGTTTTACAATTCGGACGTCACCGGTCGAGGAGTTTTACGGCGGTTCGGAATTATAGAGATTTGCGAGGATACTTTTTGCCTCGTTTAAGGTGGGCCGTTCCGAAGACTCCCAATCTTACCCATGTCAAGGTAGGGCACTCGGTACAGATGATACGGGGTCTCCTCCCCTTCCATGCACCACCTACACTCCGGGTCGTCTCCAATGCCTAGCAAGCAAAGATGCCTCCTAAGCCTGCAATGTCCTGTGTAGGCCCCTGTTAGTGCTCTACACTCCTTTCTGGTCAGTCTAAGCAGCTCCCTGGTCCGAGGAAGGGCGGGCCCATCCATCATAAGCCTCGCCTGCCTCATTCCCGGAGCAACTCTCCAGCCCCCCGTGGCCCGGTCTCTCGCCCAGGCTTCGAGAGCTCCCCGCATCACATACGGGGCGATCACCAAGCGGGGCTCTGACCCTATATGCCTATGCGAGGACCCCTCCCTGGCTAAGGCGTCCGCTGCCTCATTGCCCCGGTGTGACCCAGGGACCCAGACCAACGTGACCTTTCTCTCCTCAGCCACCACGGTTCTACTAATTTTGTCCGCTTATCGGAAGTGTCCGCTTCAAGGAGAGTACTGCGGTCTTATGATAACTCTAAATAGATATCATAATATGTACACATATATAATATGTGTAAAAAAACATTTAGTGCGTAACGTTTTTATATTTTTAAATATTAATATGACTACAAATACAAATAAGTAGTAAGTAATTTTTTTAAATATTATTTAGTCCTTTGGTTGGTGAAAAAAATCAGACATGTTTGTTTGACGAAACCTTGCCATATTGTGTTGAAGGAGACATTTTTCAAAGTAACTCCCTAGATTTTCTAAGTGCTGAAATCCATTTAATATAGAGATATGATTTAGATCTTCACCATATGAATTTATAGATTTCTACTTCTGTTTCTTCTTCTGAGTCGTTTGGACTACATTCTTCAAATGGGTCTGCGCTCTCTACATTCAAATTTGGAAATTTGTCAACGGCCTCGGCTTCTTCTGTTATTATGTTACCGTCTAAATTCATCGAATCTTTTATATTTTGGGGATTTGTTGCTGTTAAACGTTTGGCACATCTTTTCAGAAGCTGACCTTAATTTTTGTATATTTCTTTCAATAACACCAGAAAAAAATAAAACCAAATCTGCGTTATTAATCTGTAAATTTGGAACTTTTATCTAATTTCCCCACCGTCGTATTTCTTATGGGTTCAAGTATCCCTTATCGTCGCCACACTGTATTAACACACAACTCAATTTTCCGCCAAATTCTTAGTCGATTTTTTTCTTAAAAATTTGAGTTTTAGGCATGTATAGTTTTATATGAAATCTATATGGCATTCTGTGGGAGTTTCCACACTTCACTATATAAGCTAATGCATAATTCCATCTTTTTTCAGCATCTTGTTTTTTTTTTCACTTACCTCTTCATTAAATTCAATACGGAATTCAACTGAGTTTTTTGTAGCTGTCATAAAGTGGGTCCCAAATAACCGAAACATATTCCAAACCAAAACACGATAATGTAATTTTAGTTCCTTGTTTAGTTCCTTGTGTTTCTAGTAAAAAAATCTAACAATTTCGCGCTGGAAGAAACTCTAAAGTGTATGGTAAGGTTTTTGATGAAAACAACCCTCATATGCATCATCTATTTAACCCTTTCTAAAAACATGTCTAATGAAATATTCGTAAACAATAAGATGCTGTTTAATCGTAAATGTTAAAACTTTAGCCATGTTTAATGAAAGTTTGTCTTTTCTGCTGCTAATGCGCTAATATAAAATTAAGTGAATAGGATAAATCGTCAATAAATATCATGAAATAACAGAGATCCCAAATTGAGGTGGCTCGATGAGGTGATAGATGTGATTTGATAAGTTGACCACTAAAATCTACTGGCCAGGTTTTGATAAAATGATATCAATCTCTATCCTGTCAAAAGGCTTGGAGAAGGCATTACATACCACATCCACCTGGCCTAGTTTTGATTCATTTCCATCATTTTCGTTCTCTCCTTGGTTATTGTTTTTATATACTATCCTTATAATGTTAATTTCTTGATCTTCATTATTATGATTAACTGGCTTTTTTCTCAAATAAACCAAGATTGGATTTTTACTTTTTACTCAATGCCTCTTAGCTTAGTAAAACGCAATAAACGTATCAAAACAGATCAATTGGTTTTCGGTCGCCACGGCTCTGTGAACATTTCAACAAGTTTAAGGCTAAATATTTTAAAAACCGTTCAAAATAAGTTGGTATTTTTATGGGAAAATTTGTTGGCCGATCGCTCCTGTCATTTTGTTTCCAAAATCGTGTATACAGCTCTAAAATGTCATTCTTCTAGTATACAGTCTGTCCGTTATGGGGCTATGGGAAACCATAAGAGATACGAAATTGGTTAAATTAGAAAAGTTGACAACTCGCAGTAGAAAAAAATAAAAAATTGTCATTACTTTCGAAGATACACCAAAAAGTCTTATAGAGCTGAAAAAGTGGCAACGAGAAACTGACTTGTATTTTTTATATCTCTTTAAGTAACACAAAAAATTTCGTTTTTTTTTTTGGTGTATCATCAAATGTGATTTTTAGTTTTCTCAACAGCACCTTTAAATTTTGCAACATTTTTCTAATTTAATTTCGCCAGACGCCTGACTAAAATATCTAAAATGTTTGACAACGTTTGGGAAGCTGACATTAACCACTTCCAATAAAAAAAAATATTTGTCGTCGCTTGTGGCGTGGTAAAATTTTAAATTTCTATCGTGCATAAATGAAACCAAATAAAATATAAATTCGTGAAAATTTAAATACCTGCGGAGATTTTCTGCCTTTATTGTATTCCGAATTGTTCGATATAACATTTTAATATTTTCAAAATTAAAATTTAAAAATTTCCCAACGCTTTTTACTAATTTATTTTGTCAATTAGAAAAATTCACATCGTCGTCCACTTTTACATTAAATTCTTTAGTTACTGTGAATTAACGGGTAAAATTTAACTTTCTAAATTGGATGACTGTTATTGGTTCGAGGGTCAGAAGTTTCCTAAAATGAAACTCCCTTTCCTGAGTATCTTAACGATAATATTTTTGTCTACTAGTCTTTAAGGACTTTTGGGCACCGTCCTTTTGTTATAAGTTGTTATGTCAGAAATATTTTTCAATTCCTAAATAATCCCGTTGCCACGATGAATGAAAAGTCTAGACCGTCATGCGTGTTGCGTATGTTTGTTTTGACTTCTCAATTTTATTGAGCAATAAACCGGACTTATTGTTTGCAAAATGCCCCCCTTTAACGGTGGCTGATTTAAAATTTCGCGTATCGTTCACTTTTATGGCCGTTTTTTATTGTACCCCGCCTTATCTCGCGCCGTTTAAGCATATTACAACTGTCGATACAATAAACGGATTAAGGCGCGAAAAAATCGAAGAAAATCGACAAACGCGGTATAAAAAGCTGACAAATCGCCGGCAAAGGCATCAGTTCTCGATCGCACCGATCCAAGATGAAGTTCGCAGTCGTATTCGCAATTTGTATCGTCCAAGGTAAGCCGAAATGGTTTTTTAAATACTTTATTCAAGTTAAAACTGAAAAAATAATCGTTATTCTTTAACCACCATTTCGCAGGACTGGCGGCGTCGTTTAGCAACTTGCCGGCGCTGTTACTCCCGGTGCAGATATCTAACTTGCCGGCCCAGCAGGACGCGCCCCAAATCTCGAACTTGCCCGGACAAGTCGACCCAGACGTACCCCAAATCTCCAACTTGCCCGGACAGATCTTGCCCGAGATTTCCAACCTGCCCGGACAAGCCCTTCCCGAGATATCCAACCTTCCTGGTGTAGTTCAGGACGCCCCCGAAATTTCTAACTGGCCCCAACAGGCCCCACCAGAAATCTCCAACTGGCCCCAGCAAGCGCCCCCAGAGATCTCCAACTGGCCCCAACAAGCCCCACCAGAGATTTCCAACTGGCCCCAACAGGCTCCTCCAGAAATTTCCAACTGGCCCCAACAAGCCCCACCAGAGATTTCCAACTGGCCCCAACAGGCTCCTCCAGAAATCTCCAACTGGCCCCAACAGGCTCCTCCAGAAATCTCCAACTGGCCTCAACAGGCTCCTCCAGAAATCTCCAACTGGCCCCAACAAGCCCCGCCAGAGATTTCCAACTGGCCCCAGCAAGCGCCCCCAGAAATCTCCAACTGGCCCCAACAATCCCCGCCAGAGATTTCCAACTTGCCCCAGCAAGCTCCGTGCGTGCAATACGTCAGAGAACTTCTTTTGTCGGTGCTGGCCAAGATCGACGTCAACTCAGAAGGAAAACCAGCTGATCCCGTAGCCAGACCGTCGCCCCCGGTAGTGGTTCAGGAAAACGCCTGCTCGTTGTGTTTCGCCCGCCTCCAGTTGTTGATCGAGAAAGCCAACAGCAGGAACAGCATCGTTACTTTTTAAAATGACGTAATCGCCTATTTGTCCAAGGCAAATTTTGTTTCAAAATAAACGTTTTATTCCAGTAATTCACTGATTTTCCTTGTCCCTCCAGAGCACCAAAAAGTTTTAATTTTTTTTATTCATATGGTGCAAAGTAACTTAAGTTCAGGTGAATGTAGTTTTCGTTTTTTTTTTGCGAATACCTAGTATACCGTGGACTTTGTCAAAAAAATGTTATAATCAATGAAAGTGACATTATAACATCGGTTTTTGAAAAAATAACTGTTTTTGAATCAAAAATTTTTTTTTGAAAACTACTACGACCCAAAACCTCGCGCACTCTGTATAACTTGCGAAGATGGTAAAATACAAAATTGTTAGCTGTTGCCTATTAAGCTGTGTTTAAATCAATTGGTTTATTTGGTACGAGCAGAGAAGACTGACTGACTGAAATTTACAAATGTTGAGTGCCAGGTGGACAGAATGAACATAGATATCATGGGATTGAGTGCAGTCAGAAGGTCTAAATCTTGAAAATGAAAAACAAATAGAGGAACCATATATTACTCAGGAGGACCTGAGCCAGACCAACACTTGTCTCGGATAGAATAGCAAAGTCAGTGACAAAGTTCATCAGCCTAAATCTAGATCTACGCTCCAACGCATGACAAGTCACACCCAGGAATTGAAGAATTATATGAAGTTGATGAAGTGATGCGACTGACAAAGAAGGGAGAAATAAATTTGGTTATTGGTGACTTGAACGCCAAGGAGGAGATAATACGAGAGCTTACGGTCCTTGTGTAGTCTTTGTATAGAAAACAATCTAATGATAGCTAACACATTCTCTAAGCTGCACCCCAGAAGATTATATACATGCAGATCGACTGCAGAAATAGAGGGGATGATTGTTAGGAACCAAATTCATTTTATTCTCATATGATTGGAATTCAAATAATACATAAAAACAGTGATAACTTACCCCTGATCACATTACCGTTGTGATGGACTTCAAACTCAAACGATTTCCGAAAACCAAAACTGAAAAAATAAAAAAAACGAAACAACAAATAAGTCCTAAAATCAAAGGAAAATTAGAAGCAGCAGTCAAATGTGCATCAGAAGAAGAGGAAATAGAAACAATATGGAACATATTCAAGAACAAAATAACCACCATCGGAGAACAAGACACCGGCTACACAAAAAAATGACAAAAAGCAATAATGCACGACATGAAATTCTAGACGCAATAGTAAAGATAACAGAATACAAACAACCAAAAAGAACTATTAGGAAGAAATGCAGACAGTCAAAGGAACAATGTATGTCGACAATGTGCCAGGAACTAGAAGAACTACAAGCAAAATATGACAGTTTCAATTTGCGTAAAAAGTAAAAGAGATGGCAGAAAGAAGCGACAACATGACAATCCTTAGAGATAAACATATCGAAATAATTACGGAAATAGATGCTAAACTGCACACATTGAATAGTTAACAACAAAATAAGTGAACAAGGTCAAGAAATATTCAAGTATGAGGTCATACACAGGGAATAGAAAATTGTTAAATATGCGTTAAATGTGATAAACGGCATTTAAATCACAAGTTATCGTCACTTGAAGGCCCATCTACAGAGAACAGACACAAAATTGGCGCATGCGTAGGAAGCACCGTTATGTACAATAAAGTTCATTATTTCATCCAAAGTTATGAGAAAATGGTAAATACAAATGTTGTAACGATGCACATTTTAAAGTTATTTTAAAGTATACAGGGTGACTCAAAAAGAGTGTCGAATAAGATATTCATGTTTTTATTAATAATAACACATACCTAAACCTAATAGCTTTTCCAATATTTTAATTTTTCTAACAAAATACCAATTTTCGCACTTGCAAAAAAATTACGAGAGCGCCATTATTTTTGAAGGTAGATTAATGTTATTTGAAAGTGACGTAAAAGATATATGTAACTGAATTTTAATTAGATGCTGTTCAAAATAAACGAATATATTCGGATATTGGAAAAGTTAAAATAAATCGCAAAGAAGCATACTTAATAAAAAAATTTTTTTTTTTTGAAAATGCGAAAATTGGTATTTTTTTAGGAAAATTAAAATATTGGAAAAACTGTTAGGTATAAGTATGTATTACTAATAAAAAAGTTGAAGAATTTTAAAAGGAATTTGAACCAAAATCTATTTTAAAAAGTATATGCATTTTCTTTGTATTGTATTTACCATTTTCTCATAACTTTTGAAACCAATGCAATAAATAAGTGTACTCTATTTTTTTTTCAAAGAATCTTCCACAGGCTACTGTAATACTTTTTATAAACCTTCTGGATTCCTCCTGCGTCGATTTTTGTTGAGTCGAACTAGCTAACGTTTCGCCAATCATCCTGATGGCTTCTTCAGGGTTTTTACTCTGTACCTGCTTTTATATTGTTTGAGGGGGGCGGAGCTAAACGAGAGGCAGAAACACAGTCTCGGATGATTGATTCCCATATTGGTGGCAGGTAGAGACCTGAGTCGCGGTTAAGATTGTTAGATTGCTTATAGATTTCTATAGACTCTCGGATTTTTCGTTGGTAGAAGAATTGATTACATGCAAGAATTTTATGACCGGTTTACTGATTGTGCTCGGCAACTGCTGATGAGTTTATTTGTCTTAGTCTTAAGGCTCTTTCATATTCTTTGAGCCTAGTTGATATTTTTCGTGCGGACTCTCCAATGTGCCAATGCCGCATATGCATGGAATGCTGTAAACTCCTAGCATCTAAAATGGAATTTTGTCTTTGACGGATCGAAGATGTTGAGAGATTTTTGGACAAGTTTTAAATCTAGTTTGATAAAATATGTTCCAGACAAGCATTTTTCAATTAAGGTGAGAAGGATTTTAATATATCTGAAATGATGGTGAGGGTTTCAGGAATAGGAATAGAAATCATTGACTCACCCTGTACACAATTCATGGATTTAATTTTTCGAAAGCAATGCGAAGTAAAACGTTGTGAAAAACGAAAAGACGAGCGACAGAGTTCCCGTTCGAATCCTTTATCGTGAAACCGTATTAAGGCGATTTTAACGAAAGACGACCTGGCCAGATTGCCGGATTACCCGAAAAGGACCGTTTTCCGGGCCCATCGTTTGTCAGATTAGAGTTTTCCCGGGCGGATCACCCGGCTTAAGGCGTATACATTTGTCAACGTTAAAACTTAACAATTCCATTTATCCGCGGCAACGGCGGACAACTCTATTATCCACGTTTCCCGGCAAATCGGTTAACGTTGGTCCCGGGAGGAGCGAGACGGTGCCCCTCCTTCTCTGTCATTGGGTCTTTATCTCGTCGATCAAAGTTTTCCTTCCATTCGTCAGCTTTTATGCATTTTATTCGTATTATTTTACAATACAATATCAACGTCAAGAGATTTACAGTTCATCGAATACTTTCCCCAATGCATCACGTTCGTCGACCGGTAGTATGTCACTTTCGACTGGTTCCCCATCTGCCGGCTCCTCAAGTTCTTCTTCGTTTTCATTTACTGCTTCATCCGAGAGGTCTTCTGTCTCCAATTCTTCTTCCGTCGAGTCATCATCTTCTCCATCTAAGGTCGCAACCTTCATGATCTCATCCGCCACTAAGCCTAAGCCTTCCTGGTGTCCAGTACTCTCCTGCTTTTCATTCGAAGACTCTTCACTATCTTTGTTATTCACGTCGCGATCTAGAGTCTTCAACCATTTCCTCACGTGATCAGGCGTGATCTTCAACCCTTCCTCTTTCCATTTCTTCACGATTCCTTCAGCTATTTCGTCTATTCGATGGCCAATTGGTGGCTGGAGAGCTGCTTGCTCCTCAGCGCAGGTTACTTCTAAAACGTTAACATGTTGAATTTATTACTTAGATGATAATCGTGTACTTACTAAAAACCACATGCGCGATGAAAAGTAGAATTACCGTTTTCATGGTAAAAATATTTTGATTAGTGAGCCGAATTCTGGGTTTACGTTCAAGCGTTATCAGTTTGATAAAAGTGTCGTAAAACGCTTGCTATATTTTAGAAGTGCCGAAAATACGATTGGCTTAGATTAGGGTGATAAGGTGCTGCTGCGATATCCAGCGACACACGAAGAATAATCTCCAAATTTTTAAGACTTTTTTTAACGTAAATGCAAATGCAAAAAAAAAATTTTCATCAGCATTAAAAGAATATATATCTCGAGTACACTATACGACAAACGAAAACCAAAAATACAAAAATTGTAGATCTCGACCCGTTATTCAAAATATTGAGTCTCTAGAAAAAGCCCTTATTCAAAGGCTCCGGCCCCATATTATTATTATTATTATTATTATTATTATTATTATTATTTATAATAATAATAATAGTAATATTATTATTATTATTATTATTATTATTATTATTATTATTTTTATTATTATTGTGTTCTTATTATCTAACTGTTAAGAAATTTTACAATTAAAAGGTGACTAATGCAAAAAAATTGGATAAATAGGATAAAAGGCAGATAAGGAGCATAAGTAAGCTTTGCATAGACTCAAAAGTATGTGGGCTTAAAACAAAAATGGCAAATTCTCAACATCTTAAGTGTCTTTTAACAAAATGAAATGCTTCGTTTGAGTATTTGAATTTTTTTAAACAAAAATGTAGGAAATTCAAATTAAATATTCATCGCTTCATTTAAAACTTTTAGTTATATATGTAGCAACTTGAAGCTATTCGTTTTTAAAACATAAAGTTTTTCTATTTCAATGACCATAATTTTTTGTTAAATTTGTGCTAGTTTTTAATTAGTCCGATGTATACTTAAGAATATTCACACAGTTGCTTTAATTAAACCAAGCATTATATCAATTCCATCCAGCATCCAGCAATTTTACCATAAAAATAGAAAAATTTCTAAGTAAAATTTTGTATATTTTTGTTCAGATCATTTTACTATTTGAAAAATGTTATTCTGGGTCAATGAAAAATACATGCAAAAAATCTAAATAGCTTTTTGGCTTTTATTTTTACTAAAACATGTTATTTATTGACCAATGATTTTTGAAAATTTTTAACAAATGAAAGTAGTAGATACTTTTAAAAATGGATTTTTTTCGAGTCGCAACCAACTTTTTCTTTCAGTATAATTGTATAGGCAATTTTTCGTGTTGTAAATTTTCTTTTAGTGTTTGGTTGTCTGCTTATCCCTGCAGTAAATCTTAAAAAAAAAAAAGTTCAATTATTCTTTCCTAACTAATCATACAAAATTTTTAAAAATTTGTTCAGCTTAAGAAGGGCATGAACACATGTTAATTGCTGAATTGCTTCCTAAAATAAACAACACTGTGTCAATTTTCAAAATTTACCCCCTATAAAGTATTTAAACGATGTATATGCAAATATAGTAATAATAGTGTTCTAAATACAGACTTTTTAATATTTTTCTGACTCTGCAAGTCCTAAACCTTTCAATGTGTCTTCAATATTGTTCCGCAACCCTTAATACCTTACACCGGTAAATACTGAAACCGCTTTGAGAGTTCTTGTGACCAATTTTTACACTTCGTCAGGCTACGTGCAATCACGATATGCTGTCAACTCAAACCAAAGAGTACTGTACGATTATATGCTATAATGGAAAGTATATTTTAAAAGCATTTTCAAATTGAGGATGTCAAACTTATTACATCTTCCTATTAGGCACTCTTGTTTGTTTTACTCCAATGTAATTTTTATCACAAGTTGTTGTTCCATCTTTTTCGTCCTATACTCCTCCGACCAGCAGGCGATTTATCTCTTGCCATCCTCACTATCCGTTGTTCAGACATCCTATCTATATGTTGATTCCATTCTTGCTTTCTATTTCTTGTCCAGGTGTTAATGTTTTCAATTCCACATACATATGCGTTGTATGTTTTCATTTGTTTCTCTATCCCATAGTGTTTTTCCTACTATTTTCTTTAATGTTTTCATTTCACTTGTTTCCAGGCTCAACTAGGCTCAAAGAACATGAATGAGCCTTAAGACTAAGAAAAATAAACTCATCAGCAGTTGTCAAACACAATCACGAAACCGGTCATAAAATTTTATTCGAAAATCCGAAAGTATATAGAAATCTATAAGCAACTTAACAATCTTAACCGCGACTCAGGTCTCTACCCGTCACCAATATGGGAATCAGTCATCCAAGACGGGGTTTATGCCCTCCATTTAGCTCCGCCCCCCTCAAACAATGTAAAAGCAGGTACAGAGTAAAATGCGAGCCAGTTTCAGGCAAGCTCTGAAGAAGCGGACAGGACGATTGGCGAAACATCAGCAAGTTCGACTCTGCAAAAACCGACGCAGGAGGAATCCAGAAGTTCTGTAAAAAGTATCTATTGTTTCTCCTTCTAAAATTATATTTCATCATTTTAAGGAGGTAACACTTTCCAAATAAAGAAACGATGCAATTTCCGAAGTAGAACACAAAACTATTTACTACAATGAAAAATATATCTGAAAATATCATATTATATAACTGGTCTTTAATGTAAAAATACGATCGATTAGAAAATATTGGAGTTATACTCCATCTACAATTAACAATTTGTTTTTTTTTCTGCGTGAGTAGCGGGAAAACATTTGACAATACGTGTCAAAATCGAATGGGTTTAAGTTCGCTCCGACACAATTCGGACCGGCTCGGCTGTGTAACCGATTTAAGCCGCTATCCGTGAGGCCAATTTCTCTATTCCCGCTATCCGCAAACGAGGCATCATCAGTCCTAATAAAAGTTGGAGAAGTCGAAAATCCCGTTCGGCGAACCAGTTCAATTTCGGGGAAATCAATTTCTACCCGGAGTCCGCAACTCCGGTACGGCCCGGACCGACGGTGATAAATATTTCCGGGGTATATATTAAGTTGCGGGTTTTCGGTGGATGAACCGTAATACTTTTTCCCATTAATGTTCGACAACGAAATTCTTCGCGATTTCAGTCATCTGCTAGTAAAAGTTAAAATTATTATTAAAAACTATTAAAAAGAGGAGGTGAAAAATTGGGAACCAAATTATAATTAAAGTGGGAAAAAAATGTGGTTGGCGTTTTATGACTGTTTTCTTCTTATTGCAGAATGCCGTCAAAAAGGATTTTTTTGGCAGAGTCGTGCAATCCGCAACTTCTTCGTTTGGTAAGTTTTTGGTAGGAATACTTTTATGTAAGACCTAAACAAATTTGTGTTTTTAATATTAGAACTGTGAACAAAATAGTAAAATAGGAACCTTTGTGCCAGTATTTTTAACCTTCAGTATTAGCCCTTAAAAGTATTTTCTTTAAATAATCCTTTAAACACCAGTACAGTCCTTATATTCATAATGTAACCACTTGTTTTACTTTTAGACTGTAGTATTGATCTTCAAACAAATGTAGATCTTAAGTTTTATTTTTAATTTGTAGTGTAATACCTTATACGGCAGTGTGGTCCTTAAATACAAACCTTTATTATAGTATAATATGCTAAACATGCTGCTTAAATACAAAACTTTAGCGAGTTCTATTTTTGAACCGCAGCTTTTCTCTTAAAAATGTAAAATCTAAGGTTATGTTTTGGTTTTAACGGTAGAACTATTAAGAAAAAAATGAAATGCGAAACTTCTATTTTTAAATATATAATCTATAATTATTTAAACATCAGAATGGTGATTAATTAAATTTGAAACCTAAACACATGTTTTACTTATCAACTGCACCATTTCTCTGAAAAATATAAAATGGAGACTCACATTTTGTTTCTAAACAGTAGATGATCCTAAAACAATTTATTTTTTAAATGGAGTCTAAATATAAACCTTTGTCAAAAGGTTTATTTTTAAATTACAGCTTAATACTTTAAACATACTTTTTAAATAGAAAACCTAAGTAAGTTATATTTTTAAATTGCAATATTTCTATTAATATCTAATCCTATAGTTCTATTTTTAAGCAGTATCGTGATTTTAAAATAATTTATTTTATAAACGCTCTTAATGTTAAGCTTAAGCGTATGATTTATTTTTTAAATGCAGTATAACAATTGGAACGGCAATGTGGCCCTTAAAATTAAATATTGTTTTACTTTAAAGCTACAGTACATCTCTAAAAAATTTAAAATCTACGGGTATGTTTTTTTACTTTAGTAAAGTATAATATTTTAAACATGCTGCCTAAGTACAATACCTAAGCACGGTCTATTTTCAAACTGCAATATTTTTATTAAAAATATAATATCCGAGCCTATGTTCTGTTCTTTTTGATTCTAAAATAATTTATTTTGTAATGTTAAGCTTAAGCGTGTCATTTATTTTTTAAATACAGTATGGCAATGTGGTGCTTAAAATCAAAATCTAAGCGCATGTTTTACTTTAAAGCTATTTATCTTAAAAATATAAAATATCGGCATCTGTTTTGTTTTTAATGGGTAGCATAATTCTAAAATAACTTATTCGTTAAACCCAATCTAAATGTAAAACATAAGCATTATTTTAAAATTATAACATAATACTTTAAAACGAAAGTATCGGCTTTAAATAAAAGACTATTGCAGTATCATTTTTTAAAACATTTTTAATGCACAATCTAAACGTATGTTCTGTTTTTAAATAGTATAGTCGTTAAATAATTACTTAAGTAATTACTGGAGGATAATATCTTAAACGCGCTGCTTAATTAAATTTTTTATTTTAAAACTGCAGTATTTCTCTTTAAAATGTAACACGATCCTAAAATAATTTAGTTGTTAAACGCTTGTAATATAGAAGAATTTTATTTTTTGAATACTACTAACATCAAATTAACTTAATGTTTTATTTCTGAACTACAGTATGTTCCATATAAAGTGTAAGCTATGATCCTTGAAGATGACACCCAATTTTATGTTTTTTTTTTTAAATGACTATAAGCGATTGTTTTATTTTTCAAAAAACTTTTATTATTCTACAGCAAATTTTATTATCTTTAATTTATTAAATTATTTTTAATTTTATTATCTTAAATTAATTAAATTAATTTAAGTAAATTTTATTATCTTTTTAGCTTAATAGCGACTATTATTTGGAATTCTGCACAGGCGACAATTAACGATGTCGTAAAACTTGGAAAAAATGCTCGTCCGGAAGTATAATCCTTAGTTAAAGTTCGGACGGAAGTATTAATCCTTCCGGATAATCCGTATAAAGCGCTGGCCGAAAACCGGAAACTCGAATCGAAGCGATGAATCGTCAAACAAGACGAGAGAGAAAGAAATCAATTATGGCCGTGAATAAGGTTTTGGATCTCCATTACGGGCGCCGAACAAATCCGTGAGACATTCGAATTGATGGGGGCGGCGGGGAGGGGCGGGCGGGGCTTCCGGCAACGAGATTAGACGTCGGCAATTACGCAGTTTGCTCGAGCTGTAATTGCCTCCAAATGGAATCGCTCTCCTATTGTTTGCCCATCGAAATTACAATTCTCCTTGCCCCGCGGAGACCGAGACATCATCGGCCGAGTCAAAACCAACTCATCACGCTGTTGCCTCAATTAGATAGGCTTTGGAGTCGCTTATGGCTATGATGGAATTCGAAATATCGGATACAATGGAATCCTCAGAGGTGATGGTGTCGAACTAGACGAGGGTAGGAGATCTGCCACTGTCTGGAGTTGCTCTAGTCACATCACAACTTTGAGCTTTAATACAACCTTAAACTTCTGGTGTTAGTGACCAAATATACCAAGAGGTAAATTTGATATTAAAATTTTCGAGGTGTCGGTGGACGCAACCAAAATACAACCTCCTCTAGAGACCTCTAGATCTTCGCAAACATCAAAGATTGGATATTAAACTCAACTCTGATATCGTCAGAGGTGCCCTTGGGAGAGGGAAAATAGATAATATATTGGGTTGTTCGGAAAGTCATTTCGTTTTTTTTGGGGAACATGAAAGACAGTTTTCGTATAATGAATAAATATTTTATTAAATTATATATTGGCCATTCTGGCCCAACACCTTTTGCCATCTTTCTGGCAGTAACGTAATTCCCCTCTCATAAAAGTTTTGGTCCTTGCTGGCAAAAAACTGGTTCAGGTGGTTTTTGACATCTTCATTTGAGGTAAAGGTTTTGCCATCCAAAAAATTTTGCAGGGACCGGAACAAATAGTAGTCGGAAGGCGCCAGATATGGAGAATATGGTGGATATTGCAGTACGTCCCATTCAAGCTGTAAAAGTTTTTGGCGAGTGACCAAACTTGTGTGAGGTCTCGCATTATCCTGGTGGAACACTACACCCTTCCTGTTGATTAATTCGGGCCTCTTCTCTTTAAGTGAATCATTCAATTTGTCCAGTTGATGACAATAGACTTCTGAATTAATCGTTGTATTGTCCGGCAAAAGCTCAAAAATAACGATTCCTTTGACATCCCACCAAACGGAGAGCAACACCTTTTTTTGGTGAATGTTGGCTTTTGACACGCTTTGAGCCGGTTCATCTTTTCTGCTCCATGACCTCTTGCGTTTAACATTGTTGTATACAACCCATTTTTCGTCCCCAGTAATAATCTGCTTCAAAAATGGATAATTTTCTTGACGTTTGAGGAGCGAATCACACACGTCAACGCGACGACACAAATTTCGCTCCGTAAGGGCATGGGGCACCCACACATCGAGCTTCGAGGTTAAGCCCATGCCTTTCAAATAGCCATAAACAGTCGAATTCGACAAATTTAATCTCTCACCGATCTCTCGTGTGGTTATTCGCCGATTTGCAAAAACTACTGCGTAGAATTAATAGAACTTTTTCACACACAAGCCTTGCAATATCAGCTCTCAAGACATATAATGGTTATGCGGCTTAAGTGTGAAGTTGGTTTCGAAAAAACGTAATTAAGTCCTCTGACGGGAAAAAACGAAATGACTTTCCGAACAACCTTATAATATAGAAAACTACAAGTTCCAAGACCTTTAAAATGTCGAAGATAGTCATGGAAGTCTTGCAACCAAGGTTTTTGAGCAAACGTCCGCACAGAGTGCTAAAATGCATATACAACTTCCCAGATGTCTACAGATACTTTCAAAACTATTAAGCCTAACCTTGAAGTCTTGTTTCGAGGTATCAATCAGGGTTCTCTTCAGCTGAGAGTGGAAGAGTACTAACTGCAATTGTCCATATACTGTGAAAAAAATTCTCAAGTTTAAAAATTTAAACGGTAAATGCCGGTTAATAACTGAGACGAAATATTGAAACTTTTTGAAAATTCAATCTTTAACTGCTTATTAAATTCCTTTGTTATATTTAGATTTTGTGCTAATAAAACTTTTTTGTTGGATAAGGTTCGGTCCGAGTCTACTGCCCTTCGGCAACTTATGATATTGTAAAAAATTGCCGAGTATACTGATGAGCAGCATACGCAAAATATGAACTATTCAGTTTTTTGTGACCCAGTCTATCTGATTGGACCTCCTTAATTGACAGTCAAGTTCTGTACCTAGAAATTTTATATGCGAATTTTCGGGTTTATTTTGACAGTTAATCCATCTATTAACCTGTAAATTCAACTTCTTCAGTTTTTTGGGATTTTATATGTCCTTTATGCAGTAGGTCTGAAACGCCATTGGCTTTTTTCAAAATATCAGATGGTAATGGTTTAAATCGAATCGCCAGAGATATCCTTCCATTTTGAAAGTGAGAGTGAGAGTGGGAAAATAGATAGAAACATGGTATTATTGTAAAATAGATAAAGGCAAGCTCCGTGACTTCCAAAAGCTTCTAGACCTTAAAAATATGAAACATTCATGGAACGTCAACGTCCGCACAGAACGGGAAAATGCATATTTTGAGCAAAGAAAATATTATGCCTAATTTTGAAATCTTGTTGCCAGCTGAGAGTGTCGGGGTACTAACTCCAATTGACTAACCAAAACTATAAATTTCAGTCCTTTTCTATTCCCCTGTTCTTTTTAATGGAGTTAGGTTAGGTTAATTTTTAGGTTAGTTACATAGATTATTATCTAAAGTTTCGATATTTAAATTCAGATAAAATTGTGGTCCGTAATAGAAAATAATTTTATACCTACCTGTGTTTAATATTCTTTGGTTTGGTATACTATTTAGTTTGGGTTTATTAGCAATCATTAGTGATCAAGATATAATGGAGCGTAAAATTTAACAGTTATACGAGGAACAAAGCGTGCCTCTATTAGATTAGGCTAGAAAAAGATGAAACTGGTGTTAAATGTATCAGAACTACATTATGGAAGTGTATTCAACACATGGGTTTTAGATTTAAAAAAAAATTGACAAAAGCAAGTTTTAATGGAATCTTTTAGAATTCGGAAATGGCGACTGGAATATCTAGAAAAAATTAGGATTTACAGAGAACAACACAGACCAACTATTTACTTGGATGAAAGCTGGTTCGACACTTATGATACGCCGGAAAAGGGTCGGGTTGACTCAACTGATAAGTGTAAAACAAACGCGCCATCAAAAAGAGGTAAAAGAATAACTATTTTGCATGCTGGCTCTAAAGATTGTTGGATTCCAAATGGACTTTCTCTGTCTGCGAAAAATATTAAAGATTCTGCTCTGGATTACCATGAAGACACCACCGCTGATTTATTTGAAAGTTGGTTTAAAAACAAATTAGTTCCAAACCTTCCTCCTAATAGCGTTATTGTAATGGACAACGCAAGTTATCACAGTAGACAGTTGACTAAAACCCCTTCCTCATGTGACACAAAAGCAACAATCCAAAACTACATGTATAATAACGACATTTATTTTCACCAAGGTTATACCAAAAAGCAATTAATTGAGGTTCTACGAAGCTTGAACCTACAAAAGGAATACGTCTGTGATAATTATGCAAAAATCCAGGGCATACAGTTTTAAGGCTTCCACTGTACCACTGTATATTTAATCCCATTGAACATGTTTTGCACCAACTGAAATCTGTCATTCGTCGTAACAAATGTTTTTCCCCGTGTTAACTCCAATGTCCTCAAACTTATAGAAACCGATGTTTTTAACATCCCTCCAAAAAGTGGGGCAAATTCTGTTAAACATATAGAAAAAGCAGAACAATCGTATATCCATATTGCAAGTAATATAGAACAAATAATAATTAGAACAGGCGATGATACCGATAGTGATACTGATATATTCTATGAATAATTTTAAGTAATTTAAGTAGGTAATACAAATAATTCGTAATTTTGTTTTAGATTTAAACATAAATACATATATTAAAAATTTAAATATTGTTTAGTATCTTCCGTAACAAAACCCCAAATAATTATATTCTTAAGCAAAGTACGGACCTGTTCGGCCCTACTTTATTTTTACCGCTTGCCCCCGGGTCTTTCCTTAAGTCGTATCAGTTAGTCGCTTTCTTATATCTATGAACAGACTTGAGTTTGTAAATATGACATTTGATAAAGACACGGTGTTGTCGAAACAATTGTCAACAACTTTTAGTTCTTATTTATTTTGATAAATGGATTTTCATCAAGTAAAAGCCACTTCAGTTCAATTTTTGAAAATATGTTAATGGTATCTGCGTAACTTCGTTTTTCTTTTCAGGTAAAGCAGATGGCGCGCCCAAAAACGACGTGTGGTATTCGTACAAGGAGGGCTACAGCAACGCGGTCAGGAAGAAAATTAAGATCGCGAGTTTGCTGTAAAGTCCGTTGTAAAATATCGTTCCTGCTTTTTATAATTTAAATTTATCGTTATACTTTCCGAAACCAGAGCCCAGGCGTTTCTGTCGCGTCGTTTTATTGTCCCCCCCCCCCAAACCCTTTTTCTAACCCCATCGTTCCCCCGCCACCCCCCGCGCACATACGCCGCCTCCGCGACGACGGAGGCGGAAGCGGATACGAACTCAGATGTTGCATTCGGCATCCGCGTATATTGCGGGTAACTTGGAGATGCTTAAAGGTAATTCGCTAAAAGCGGATATTGTTCGTAAGAAAGCGGAAATTTATGGGGTTTGTTTTTACTTTGTTCAAAGCGAGAAACCCCGGAGCCGGGGGCGGGGCGGGGGGACGTTTTCTCAGATTTATGACCTACGAGTTTGTATGTGTGTGTGTGTTTGCGAGAGCAAATTGAACGAATGAGTTTCTTACCGACGCTGGGTGGAGTTAAATTGCGGCGGGGAAGGATGGCAAGGGGGAACTCAAGAACGACGCACCAAAGGCAGATCTACAACTTCAAACCACAGCCGGTCATATATATTTATTGAATTTGTTTAATTAAAAAAATTTAGTATCGACAACGTCATTTAAGTATACAATAGTAATTTTTTCTTAATATACGGATATCAGCAAGTAGCTGCATCGTCAAAACCTAGTTAAAATAAAAGTAATATGAGTGTAAAAAAAAACATAAACAAACAAAATAGCATAAATAAATCAAATCACGAAACAAATATAACAAGTATAAGTAATTACAGAGTTAGAAACATAAAAAGATTAAAATATCAATGACTTTCTATTTATCAGTCTTCATTAAAAGCTTCAAACTTCCTTCAAATTCCTTGAAATTTGAGTTAATAATATATTACGCAACGAGTGCGGTAAACGGCATTTGACTCACGAGTGTTTAATAAACGAGTGAGTTAAAAAGTTTACCAAACGCGTTGCATGCCATACTTTTTCTACGACCGTTCGTTCTTGGGTACATTTTTGCAAAAAAGCACGAATACATTCACCGACATGACCGTCAGAATTGACAAACGTCCAAGTTCAAAGCGTGGGAAATATCTCCGGCTTCAAGGAAAGGTCATGAGTTCGAATCTCAGAATAGTATAGCAATGGCAACGGAAACAAAAACGGCCATCCCAGGAGATATACTCAAGCTTATATAAACACTTCTTGTGCTATGTTGGAAATATAGGATAGACCTGTTATCCTATATATTAATAATTAACAGTTTTGAAATTGTATCGATAGTTAATGGAGTTAATAATGTTAATTGGAAACGGGAGTGAGTGATATATAAAATACAGTCGACAATAGCCATTAAAATATATCCTAGTACGGAGACAACTCTATAGTATTCATTTTAATGCAGTTCTAGTAAAAAACTAAGAAAGCCAAAATTTCAAAATTTGAAGATTTGAATCGGGCAATGTTGCAGTGGTTCCAACAGCAACGTCTTAAAAATGTACCACTCTCTGGACCTATCAAAAGCAAAGCAAGCAAAAGCAGAAAAGTTTGCTGAACAGCTTGGCATTATCGATTTCAAGGCTACGGAGGGATGGTTGGGAAAATATTACTTCTCTGCACATCCCCATATTCCAAATCTACGGAATATTGAATTGGCATTTCTTCTAGCCAAAACAACAAGTGCAGCCGATGGACCAGAGCGTAATAAAAAGTCTTAAGAGGCGACACAGGAAAAACATTTTAATGGAAATGATCAAGTCCGAAGACAAATTTTCCATTAATATGCTAGATGCAGTCAACTTTATTAGTAAAGCTTGGAAAGAGGTGACAGCAGAAACAATTCAACACTCCTATGCAGGATTTATTACCGAGACAGAGTGCGAACAGGACTTGGAAGATGATCAGCCACTAAGCCAGTGGAAAAAGCAGTTTCAAACAACAATTACGTTTACAAGTGAGGAGTCGCAAGACTTTATGGTGATAGATCAGGAATTGCCTACAACAGCAGACTTGGCAGAGGAAGCCATATTACAACAAGCAAGAAAGGGTGAGGAAGAGCACCAAGAGGAAGGAGAAGATGCAGAAATTGATATTCAGTTAAGCTGCTAGAAAAAATGGTGAAAATGCAAGCCAAAGTATGAGATGCGTATTGGCATATTAAAAAAATTCGAAACAAAATTACCGATTATTTGAAACATTAAATGCAGTTCTTAAATATTTATATAAAATGTTCCTAAGTAGATGTTAAATATGTACATAAAATAATTAAATATTACAGAACACATATGCGTATTGTTATTTTTCAAGTGCCTTTATAACGAAAAAAAGCAGTCCCTTCAATTTCGTTATATAGAGTTTCGATTGTATTTTTATACTGAGGGGTTTATAATTATGTCATAGATTATTAAAATATATGTTTTAACCGAATAGGCAAATATTCATAGAATATTTTTATTTCTGTATTACGTTCTAATAATATTCTATAAGAAGAACATTTGAAGTTTCTCAGAATTTGTTATTTTGCTGTCTGGTACAAAAGTTAAATGTAAATACAACCTTTTTCGTAATATAGTTTCTGAACAATAAAAACACTAAATAAAAAATAAAACTTAACTTTGAATACGGGAAAGTGTCCGTTGAACTAATGGGGCGTGGTTTTCCCGTCGGTTTAAAGGTGCGTATTTTTTTCTCGTCCAATAATAACCTCGTCCGGGTGTCCGAACCGTCGGCTGAACGGACAGAGAGAGGGCGTCCGAAAAATATCCGTGTCCCGGAATCGAATGAAAAAGCAATTTGCGCGGAATTGCAATTTCCATTACATTAGCGTTTCCGCCGCTGCCGCTGTCGGCGGCACCGTCTGGATAATTAATATGGAATATCACGAATATTAATATCCATAAATTACGGTGGCAAACAGCATCAGCAGCCAATTCCATTAGAGAGTTTGGCGGTGGGTTGGCTGCCATGGCTGCAACTTTCACGGGAATTAATTCCGATAACAGCCGCTACCGGGTTTTGTCCGTAATAAGGGGCGTGTTTTTTTTTTTGAACAACGTAAAAAAGTTACCAATGACTATTCGCAGTAAAATAAGCCGCGACATCACAACCACATTTTTTTTCAATTCCAACGCGATTTGGATAGTATTGGTTGGTTATTATGTAGTTAGGCACCTACATACGAAATATAGAGCATGTTTGTTAAGGTTTCTCAGAAAAAGAAAATAATTTCCTTTTCTGAAAATAAGTTTGACACCGTTTCCAATGATTTGCAGCAAAATTTATAATTAAATTCCAAAAATGCTTGAATTGTACAATAAGGCTCTGGAAAGAAACAATAGTGATCCCATCCCTAAATGAAATAAAAATAAATTAGAACCTTCAAGCTTTGACCAATTGGCTTAACCCGTGACACGGGTAAACAACAGACTTTAGAACTACCTAGAGAGTAGCAATTTATTTGTCTCTTACCAAGCAGGATATAGAAAGAAACGATAGACAATCGATCATCTCGTACTGCTTGAACATCATATACAGGAAGCTTTCAGAAAAAGAGAAGTTGATATCAGTATTTTTTGATATAAAGGGAACTTTCGACATGACGTGGTATTTCGCAATACCAGACAAACTCAATAAGCTAGGTCCAAAAGGCAGACTTCCTTTATTTATTAAGTCGTTTTTTTCAAATAGAAGTTTCATGGTCAGAGTTGATGATACTTGCTCTACATCTAGAGCACTGGAGAGCGGCATCCCACAAGGATCAACACATAGCTGTACGTTATTTGCAATTGATATAAAAATATATGTTGAGGTACACAACCAAAAATAATTAAAGCCAAATAATCAAAAGAAATACTTTTTACAAAACTTCTGGATTCCTCCTGCTCAAGCTCTGAAGAAGCCAACAGGATGATTGGCGAAACGTCAGCAAGTTCGACTCGGCAAAAATCGACGCAGGAGGAATCCAGAAGTTTTGTAAAAAGTATTACGGTAGGCTGTGGAAGTTTCTTTAGTCTATAGCTGCGTATTTTATACACCTGTTACATTTGTAGATGTGGCAGGGAATATCTCGATATGTGAAAACCTTTTATGCGAAGGTGTTAGCCGCCCATACGGGCTTTATGGCCATGTAGTAATGGGCAATTATTATTAATTTAGGTATTTTTACATTTTTGAAAATTATCAAGAATTTTTAGAGAAATTATTTTTTTCTTAGACCGTTGCAAACATCATTCTAATTTTTTTTAAATACTCCCCGAGCTCCCCAACCAGGCGGCCAAGCTTCAAGTTAATAGCTTCAAATTCTAGACACTTATAGCAGTGTCCAAAAAACAGTCGAAAATCGGATGGAGTCTGATCGAGATTATTTTTTCGTGTCTCGTCGGTTGCTTAAAAGGAGTTAAATGTGAACAACGTATGTCAAACCCTTCGAAAGTTATAGCCATAATGCCGCGTCTACAGGGATATGCAGAACAGAGAAGGGACGATGAGACAAAAAAAGTGTTTCATTTTCAACACTGTACCAATGCCGACATATAAGTTTCGTTGCCAAGCCCGTATACTTTCGAAAAAGTAACTAGCTTTCTGGATTTGAGATATATACTTTGGGTGTAAACGGTCAAACAAATTAAACAAATAAGTAAATAAAAACGCCTTTATTTTTTGCTCGGCTAGGGGCATGTAAAAAAATCCATAAATCAGCTTACAATAAGTCAAATTTTACGTAATAAATAAATAAGTAAATGAGCTAACAATAACAATGATAATGGATTAAACATAACCAGAGGTAATATCGCCGAAATAGGTAAAAACTAAGGCTAAAATAATTGAACAATAATTAAAGTAAGAAAATTGACAAGGCTTATATATATATATATATATATATATATATATATATATATATATATATATATATATATATATATATATATATATATATATATATATATATATATATATATATATATATATATATATATATATATATATGGTTTTTTACAGCTGTCGCTGTCTCCCTTCTCTCAACCTACGCCTCCATCCATCTCTGTCTTGCCATTCATCTCCGATACCTCTTTTTCCATAGATT